TGACATGTTGTGGGGTTGTTAACCAATGTCATAAAACAATATGTGTACTACTGTTTCATGAGAAACTATTTGTTCTGTAAGCCTTCACCTGAAGTGCAATAAAAAATAAAATTATTTCTGTTGCAATTGGCAACACATGTGCTGCTTTTCTGGGGAGGGACTGAAGCCATCCGATGGGGAGTCAGGAGTGCACACCTTTCAGATCTCCCTGCTCTGAGTCTGCAAACGGAGGGGGTACTGGCTGGGTTCTACCAAGTCACAGCTGTAGGAGCAAATGGCCAACGGCCAGGCTGTGCTCTACTTTTAACGAAAGACGACTACCGCAGGAGTCGGGCAGTAGTGGTTCAGCAGCAGAATTCTCGCCTTCCACGTGGGAGAGCCAAGTTCAACTCCCAGCCAATGCACCTCACGTGCAGCCACCAACCATCTGTTAGCGAAGGCTTGCGTGTTGCTATGATGCTTAACAGGTTTCAGTGGAGCTTTCAGACTAAGATGGACTAGGAAGAAAGGCCTGGTGATCTACTTCTGAAAATCAGCCAATGAATCACAGTGATCTGATCCCATGGTGCATGGCCAACTCAGTGGCAGCTAACAACCAACACCACAAAAATTAGCCCAGCACAACACCCCAGGGCTGCTCTCTTCTATCTTGTCAGATGCTCCGATTATGGGAGAAATGATTCACAGATACAGAGGCCAGAGTGCAGCTGGGCTGCCCTCACCCACGCCAACCAGGTCCCTCCAAACCCCTTAGGATTATTAAAGTCACAAAACACCCCGTGATCCCATTTCCTTGAGATGTGGGGTGGCTTCTAGAGGATGAAGAATAGAAAATATCTGGGGAAATATGCATATATTATGGAAATTCTTCGATGGAGCAGAAGCCAAACAGAAAAGGAATACGCAAACGAAAAATTAAGATGGGTCACAGAGAAAGCATTAGAGGAAATAACTGAAGTTTTGCGCACATCTCTGTGATAGTTAATGTGATGTTCACAGCTTGGCTAGGCTGTGATTCTCAGCGGTTTGGCAGACATTAGACTGGTTGCTCTTCCATAATGTAATATAATGTGATCACCTCCCATGCTGTGATCTGGTGTTTACATTATATTACATGAGCAGCCGATCAGTTGAAAGGGGAGTTTCCTTGGGGATGTGGCCTTCCTCCAGTGTATAAATGGATGTCCTGGCAGAGCTCACTCTCTCTCTCGACCTTGCACTCTTCTCATTGCCTGACCTCCAGCTCCTGGGACATTAGCCTGCAGAAGTCTCCGCCCTACCACCTGATTTGCAGATTTTGGATTTGCTAGTCTCTACAAGCCCGTGAGCCAGCAGAGGCCTCCAGCCTGCCAGATTTGGGTCTTGCCAGCCCCCACATGAGCCACATGAGCCATTTCCTTGAAGTAAATCTCTCTCTATATATTTATATATGCGTTTCACTGGTTTTGCTCCTCTAGAGAACCCAGACCAAGACAATCTCTGAATAAAGTTTCCCTCACGAGTGTGTTTTGTAGAAAAAAATCTAACAGCTCTTTGTGGAACTTCCGCCGTGACTCTCTGAGAGAGAGGAGGAGGTTCATTCATTTCTTCAAACAGCCCTGGTACCTGTAGCCATGCAAGACCTGCCTGGGAGGGTACCTGGGCTATCTCCCTGGGCCTCATAGGTTCGAGCCTGACTCTGGGTCTCAGAGGGCCAGGTGGTTATGATTTTGGAAATTTGGGAACTACTCACGTTAACCAAGCTCAGAGACCGATGTATAAAATAAGAAAGGTTATTTTTCCATTTTCAATGAAGTACCACTGCCTACAGCCAGACTCAAACATTCCCTAACTGTCACTGCAGCCACCATGTGAGAAGCACACTTATGTACAGAATACAGTTCAATCCAGCACAGTGACACTGGACCCTGGAATTCTCCAGTCAGCAGCCTCTGTCTGGAGACCTGAGATGGGAAGCCAGTTACAATCAGAGGGCTGCTAGGCAGGCCCAGGGTCAGAACTCAGGGACGAGCTGTATGATTTGAGAGCTAATGGTTGGCCACGGGGCAGGGAAAATGGCCAGCTGGTCGGGACACCCTCTCCCCTGGTCAGTGGTCATCAGTGTCTCCTGCCAAGAATGGATTTGCCCTTTGCCCTGGGCCAATTCAGGAGACTTCTCCTGGGATCACTACATTGCTTTAGGGATGTCGATACATTCACTCAAGCTAGAGTCCAACTATGGACCCAATCTATCTCTAGGGAGCCCTGGTGGCACAGTGGCTAACGGCTCTGCTGCTAACTCAAAGGTCAGCGGTTTGAACCCACCAGCTGCTCTGCAGGAGAAAGATGTGGCAGTCTGATTCTGTAAGGATTTCAGCCTTGAAAACCCTATGGGGCAGTTCTACCCTGTCCTATAGGGTTGCTAGGAATCAGAATCAACTCAACGGCAATGGGTTTGGTTTGGTTTGGAATCTATCTCTAGGGAGCCTTGGCATACTTTTGTTTGAATCCAATGTATATGAGTTTCATAATTCAGCTTAGCACGCACCATTTTTTGAGCATGTATTTGTGCCAAGGAGTCCCTGGGTGACCCAAATGGTTAATGCACTCGGCTGCTAACCATTCTGCTTGAGTCTACCCAAAGGTGCCTCTGAAGAAAGGCCTGCTGATCTACTTATGCAAAATCAGTCACTGAAAACCCTAGAGAGTACAGTTCTACCCTGACACATATGGGGTCACCACGAGTCGGAGTTGACAACAACTGGTTTTCATATGGATTGAAATTTAAATGGGTCTCCTTATATGCTGGATCTAGCTCATTATGATCATCAAACTCTTCTAGTAAAAAATGTCCACTCCGTCCAAGTATGTCCATCAAAACCTGCAATTTGCTTAGAGAGAATATTTTGTTTTCACAACTCATTGAGAATATATAACAAACTTTAGGACACTCAGGCTATTATAGGTCATACCACAGTGACATCATTCTCTTACCTCCTGCAAAAACTTTTCACTCATTTGACTGAAATGATGGCCTGGCGGCTTGATTCCAGACACCACCAACCCAGAGCTGAAGACCCTTGGCTTCTGCAAGTCTGGCTTGAATTTCTCATAAAGGGTGGCAGGTGACTTGAGGTCTCCACTTGCTGTCTTCTCCTCTTTGGGAAGAGGCATGCTACATGGTGGCGGGGCATAAGGGAGCCCCACTGGCACCAGCGAGGCGTCCACCTGGCCCAGGGCCTGAGGACCCCTCCTGATGTAGGTGATGATTTTGGGTCTCACGTGCTTGGGCTTGGGCATGATGACAGGCTTAGCTTCCGTCCTCTCATCTGTTTTGTCAACCTGGCCGTTCTCCATTCCCTCCTTCGAGGAAGGCGTGTCCTTGGAATGTGTGCAGACAGGCTTGGGGATCCCACTGGGGCAGACGTTCTTGTCAGGCACTTTTGGGGAAGTGTTCAACAACTGCACACTGTCGGGGGCAGGTACAGTGGCCACGGAGGACCCTGCATCCACATCCAACATGCGGAGATCCTGGACACTGCTACTGGCTGGTATGGGCTGGTGGGTCACATTCACAGTTGGGACTATGACGGGTGCTGGGACATTGAGAAGGGAGTTGGCTCTTGCTGGGGTACTTTCAGTCTCAGCCGCATTTTCTAGAAGGTTCCTAGTTCCAGCAGCTGGTATAGCCATCTTTTTGTATTCTCCTGCTTCTGAGCTTGTGCTTTGATGGACAAGGAGGTTGGGGACCCCAGTATTGTTTTCTCCAGCAGAAGGATCTGAAGCCAAAGACATGGCAACGTCCATGTTCCCACTGCCCAGTATCCTTTTCTCATTGACATCGAGTGGATCACCAAGAGTAGAAGCTACCTGACCGTCACCTGGTGAAATGTTGTTTGGTGGTGCTTCACCCAATTGCCTACCTACACTTGGTGAAATTTTGCCAGTGGGCTGATTATCAGCAGCTGCCAAGGATGCCAGGCCCTGGGGATAGAAGGTTTGAAGAGAATTTTCATCATCTAGGGCAACCTCTCTCTTCTCATCATCACGACTTCCTCTTCCCAGCCCAAGATGGTGAAGACCGCTGTTAGGTAGGCCACTGACTGCACCAGTGGCTCCTTGGTGTGAGGAAAACGTCTCTGCTTTCCCACACTGCTCTTTTCTCTCTAGGGGTAACGTACTATCGTCCTTACCACACCCCAGACATTCTGCCTGGGTCGACTTTAATTCCTGCATAGCCCTGGGTTGAATATATTTCAGCTCCGTCTTGGACTCATCCTTTCCCTGAACTAATTGTGCTTCAGGCTGACTCAGGATTTCCTTAGAGGCTAACGTTAAATTCAGAGCAGGCTCTGTCTGTGCAGAATGTGATGTGCTCTCATCGTTAACATTCAGTACATTTCCCCCTGCCCTTTGGGCCTCTGAAGGGGTGGTTTCCTTGGTTTCTGAGGTAGACGGTTTAGGATGCAGCCCAATCTTTTCCTCTGAGGCACTGTCAGCTAGGTGAAAAGCTCCCCCTAGAAAGTGGCCTGGCAGTGTCTTCTGTGGTTTCTCCCCACCCCTAGCAGACACATGACGTGGGGCTTTGGTGGCGTCCACTGAAGCAGACTGCAGAAACTGCTGAGTCCCGCTCCCAACACGCTCCTTAGTGAGTGTGTCCACCTGAATGGCATAGCCACTTTCTCTTTCCATGGAATGCTTCCTCAGCTCCTCACCGTCAAAGGCCTTTGCCAATTTATCCTTGGGAACGTGCTGGGTAACATCAGCATCCTGTTTAGCCAAAACCTCGGGACACGCCTCACTGGAAACAGTCCTCCAGCCCAGCAGGCTGGGTCCCTGAATACCCCGAGGGGTCTGCAGAAGAGCTGTGCCTTTCTCCACGGTGTGCTCACTCAGTTCCCTGTGAACCGCTGAAGACAGCTTACAATCTTTCAGGCTCATGGGGCTGACCTGAAGCTCGTGGAATTCCTTACTGAAATGGGTAATACGTTCTGGCTCCCCTGAGTTTGCATTTCCAGTTTCATCTGCCAGGCCACACGTCTTCAACTCATCGTGAGGGGAACCGACCTCCGCCATGATCTGATTGGCATTTGTATCTCCCAGACTGAGGAAACTCTCATTATTATTTTTCGCTCCATTTCTGTTGTCTCGCAACTGCGTGTAACACGATTTCTTCGGAGCCACTGGAACACTCATGGTCAACCCTTCACGGTGGGGCTGGGTGCCATGCAGTCCTCAGCAGACAGGGGCTTCCTTCAAGCCTCAATCTGACTAACAGGAAGTCCTCAAGCTGCCTGCCGTCCTCCGACGATGTCACGTCGTGACACTGCTGCGATCATTTTCGTAGCAGTTTTAACACCATTGTCTTGGCATACGGCACGATGACGTACTGGCTGGGTTCCTGCTGAAGGAGAGTCGACTACGCCACGAGACCTACAGACAAATAAAAATACATGTGCGTCAGGTCAGCAACAAGAGATTCTGAAGAGACAAAAGCATAGTACATACAGATTTTTTCATCACTTCCATACTATTATTTCATTCACTCAATCAACATATTTCTCACTGGCCAAATACAGGAAAACTGACGTCATGTTACAAGTGGATAAAAACATACCAAATTTTATAAAGGAGCCCTGGTGGTGCAACCAGTTAAGCACTTGGTTGCTAACGGAAAGGTTGATGGTTTGAACCCACCCAGCAGCTTCACAGGAGAAAGACCTGGCAATCTGCTTCTGTAAAGATTACAGCCTAGAAACCCCTATGGGGCAGTTCTACTGTGTCACATGGGGTCGCTATGAGTCGAAAATGACTCAACAGACAAGGGAGAATGAAGAAAACCAAAGATACAAGGGAAAGATTAGTCCAAAGGACTAACGGGCCTCAAGTACCACAGCCTCCACCAGACTGAGTCCAGCGCAACTAGATGGTACCCAGCTGCCACTGCCGACTGTTCTGACAGGGATCACAGTAAAGCGTCCCGGGCAGAGCTGGAGAAAAATGTGGAACAAAATTCTAACTCACAAAAAAAGACCAGACTTACTGGTCTGACAGAGACTGGAGGATCCCCTACAGTATGGCCCCTGGACACCCTTTTAACTCAGAAATGAAGTCACTCCTGAGGTTCACCCTTCAGCCAAAGATTAGACAGGCCCATAAAACAAAACGAGACTAAATGGGCACACCAGCCCAGGGGCAAGGACGAGAAAGCAGGGAGAGACAGGAAAGTTGGTAATAAGGAATTCAAAGTTAAGAAGAGGACAGCGTTGACAGCTTGTGGGGTTGGCAACCAATGTCACAAAACAATACGTGTACTAATTGTTTAATGAGAAACTAATTTGCTCTGTAAATCTTCATCTAAAGCACAATAAAAGAAATAACTCAGCAGCACCTAATAACAACAACATAATTTAAAAAGCCACAAGTCCATACAGGTTCTAAAAAATAAAAAAGGATCGAGGAAAAATAAAGGCTCTTCTTCACAGAAGAATATCAGCTAACGGAAAAATGACAGAATTAGAAAAATCGCCTTTTTCAATGATCATAAAAAGCCAAAAAAAAAGAAACCCCAAACCCATTGCCGTCGAGTTGATTCCAACTCATACCGACTCTAGAGGACAGAGTAGAACTGCCCCATGGGGTTTCCAAGGAGCAGGCAGTGGACTCGAACTGCCGACTTTCTGGTTAGCAGCTGAGCTTTTAACCACTTCACCACCAAGGCTCCGCAATGACCATAGTGATCATTGTTTTGTGCAAAGGCCACAGATGGATGCTGAAAACATTGGACGAAAAATTGCTGGGGAACAGGTTATTTACAGGATCTCAAAGTACTGTCCCACAGATGATTTCTTACAAAAGCAAAGTTTTATCTTTACGATGGAGCAGTCTGGTGGACATCACGTGAAGCTCATGTTCACATTTCACATCACCGATAATGAAAACTGACATCACATGCCCTGAAGCTATGTCCTTCTCAGCACGCATATCACTGATACCGTATTCTTGCCATAAATGCTCAATCTGAATTTAACCGTGAGGAAATAATCGAGAAATGCAAATTGAAAGATGTTCAACCCAGTAACTGACCTAACTCTTCCAAATAGCCAACGGGTATCTAAACACAATATATGATCTTGGACTGGGCCCTGGATTTTAAAAAATGTAAGCAAAAGACATTATTGGTACAATTGGAGATCTAAATATGAACTGTATATGAGGTAAAAGTATTGCATCAATGTTACATTCTTGGGTGTATAACAGTATTGTGATTATGTCGGAGATTACCTTTGTTCTTAGAAGTATTGTGCTCTAGAATTTACAGGTGACATGACATGATGTCTGGAAATGATCCAACAAATACAAATGTGTGAGTGTGTCTGAGTATGTTGAGAGACAGAAGGCACAAATGTGGCAAAATGTTAACCGTTTGAAAATCCAGGTGAGTCACTCTATTGTAGCTGTAACTTTTCTATAGACTTGAAATTTTTCAGAATAAAAATGTTGGAGAAACTCTTTATTCCAGCCTTCAAGGCTTGCATGTTCCGACCCCTACGGAGCTCTCTCCCTCCCTACCCCCGCCTCAACTCTCCCTTTCTCTCTCCAGGCTGAGCCACACTGGGCTCATTCCTCACATTACATGTTGCTTCCTCCCTGCTCCAGGACCTTTGCACCTACTCTCCCATATGCATGGAATGTAGAGTCCTCCCCCAGTATCATCCAACTAACTCTTGCATATTCTATAGTTCACAGCATAAATACCACCTCCTCCAGGAAGTCTTCCTGATCCACTGGAATAGATTAAGTCTGTCTCTGATGATCTTTCTTAATATTTTATAGTTTTACTTTGAAGTCTAGATGTGCTAGACACTGGAGATAAATACTGTTCAACACCTCAAAATGTATTAGGCACTTAACATGTATTTACAGCATGAATGAAAGAATAAACAATGAATGATGAAGAAGATAAATGTTTCTTTCCTCATACATCTTAAAATCTAATACAGTGCAGGTAGTTCCCACCTTAGGACATCTTCGAGTTACAATATATTCCCACTTACGACTTTTTTTTTTTTTGTACATCTTATTGTTAATAATATGTACTGCATACAATGTTGCGACACATAATTTGCTGATTTTATCATTCTCTATAAGTTTATGTGTAATCTTTCCAACCTCCAAAGACAAATAAAGATCAGATTTATAAAGATACTGATAATAAAAGGCAATAATAATGAAAACTAAAAAAAAAAGAGAGAGAGAGCGGTATTTGACTTACATCAGAACCGATTTACGAAGGAGTTGTTGTCATAAGTCGGGGACTACCTGTATTTAATTCTCTGTTAAAGTAGACTCACACATCATCACTAAATCATTCAAGTCAAGGCTAACATTTTTTTCTCTACCACTCTGAATGTCTTTTATTAGAATTGGGGGTGGGAGATTTTAACAGTAACAAGATTTCTGCCCCATCCCCAATTCCCCCAAGGAGTATTCAAAATTAACAATCTTCCACAGCTTCCTATTAGATTTTTACAGACACATACAAGTACATATACAGTATTTTCTGCAAACAATGCACCCACATAAATAACGCACCCACGCATATAATGCATATAATGCATAGCACACTTGAAAAAACAGTGCAGGATGGCCTTCGGTGGTTGGCAAAAGAAGTATACATTATTTACGTAAAAATGCAGTACACTACAAGGAGGTGTTTTTATGTTTCTACTGAAATAAGTTACATCCTTTCATCATCATCGAATATGTTATTCATATTATAATCATCGTCTCTGATATTATTCGTGTGTGTGTGCGCGCGCGCGTGTATTAAAGCAAAATGACATAATAAACACCTGAGAATCTACCACCCAACCCTAGGACTGAAAGATTACCATTAACTTGCTGCTACATTGGTGCTCCTCTTCATTCCAAACCCCTACCCTCCCAATTTAATTTTTCACTTGACAACCTACCATGGGCTTCCCTAAAAAAATCAGTTGATAGTGACCTTCTTTCCTTTCATTTCTTTAGCATCAATGCATAAAATCCTTTGCCTTCAAATCGACTCCAGTTCATGACAACCCCATGTGTTAAAGTTGAACCGCTCCATAGAGATTTCTTGGCTGTAAACTTTATGGAAGTAGACTTCCAGGCCTTTCTTCTGTGGTGCCTCTAGATGGGTGTGAACCACCAACTTTTAGGTTAGTTGTTGTTGTTGTTAGGTGCCATCGAGTTGGTTCTGAATCACAGCGACCCTATATACAACAGAACAAAACACTGCCTGGTCCTGCGCCATCCTCACAATCATTGTTATGCTTCAGCCCACTCTTGCAGCCACTGTGTCAATCCATCTCTCTGAGGGTCTTCCTCTTTTTCACTGACCCTCTACTTTACCAAGCATGATGTCCTTCTCCAGGGACTGATCCCTCCTGATAACATGTCCAAAGTAT